ATTTGCATGTGTAAGATACTTACGGCACATCGCATGGTAGAGGCAGCCTTATAGCTTCATCAAGCAGAGTTGGCGGGCGCCCCATTAGCACAGAAAGCCATCTGTCTAAAATGTAAAGCGTCCAGAATGTGCGTTTGCTCGCTTCATCGTTGCAAGACCTGAATGCACCATGTATAATGGCAATGTGAATCGCTAAACTGACCTGGAGATTGTAAGTGCGTGTCTTGTATGCAGTGCTTCAGTCTCTCTTACATATACGTATGCTGCGTCTCTGCGGTTCAGCTCGATGAGATAGAAACCCATAAGAGTCAACACAGGGACATCATCCAGGGTGAATCGCACGGTATCTAATGGATTCCCGAGGAGCTTTCGCGCACGCTTGAAGTACGCCTCTCCCGCATGCTGATCTGAGCGTCGGGAAGACTGATGACCGAAAGACGTAGCTAGGGCGAAGCAGACATGGTAGAAGGCTAAGCCTCGGTGAGTGTCGTCTGTCGTCATTGCACTCAGCAAGACGGAAGGAGCCGTAGACGTGGGGAACTGGGTAAGATCGCCCCACCCTGGTTGAGGGTTAGTGAAAGCACAGTCAGTCATCCACGCATAGCTTACAGTATATTCCGCCAGACAGAAATTCGCCATTGCCATCCTGAATGTAGGCTCGCAGTTGGGCAAGCATCAATGCCATGTCGTCCTGGTCCGGAAGCCATAACGGATCCACGCTTGGATTGGGTATTGGTCGCGAGTCGTATGTCTGATAACGTCCAATTGATGCAACAAATGAAGACCCATCCGCCGACTCGGGCTGGAAAGTCAGAGGAACCAGCGTAAGCATGAATTGCTTTAGGTAATCCAGGAACGTCGCTCCAGACGTTTCACCGAAGAATCTCGGGGTGCCACAAGGGTCGACAAGCAGGCGGCCATCGTTCGTGTCGGCTTGATCCAACTCCATTGAGACGGAAAGAAAAGTCGGCGCGGTCGAACGCGTTCCTGGCCCGCCATGGTCGAGCTGTCCAATGATCTCGGCGGCCTCTTCAGGTGCAGCGATTTTGAACCCTGTCTCGAGTGCTGCACAACGCGCTCGCAAGCGTTCGAGCTCGTCTTTGAGAGAGTGCTTATCTGATTCCGGTGCTGGGTACTCGCATTCGCGTGAGGTTTTGCTGCATCGTTGACACGGCTGCTCCCCCGAGCATCGAACTCGACGAACGTTGCACGCGTTGCATCTACGCGCCGTACGTCAGTGATGAGCTTTAGACGGGTGCTTGCACGGTGCATGACTTGAGCGATGCGCGTGTTCTTGATGCTGCCGATGAGCCCTGCTGACGTATGCGCTTGCTCTTCGCCTGGGCGACATCCATCGGCACCGTAGTACCAAGAAACCACAACCAGTACCAATGCGAAACGTGAGGCTGGGAATTTACTCACGCTCTTACGACGCGCTTTCGTAACGACGGGTCGACCTTGTGCCGTCTTGGATTAACAGGCAGGCGCTGCGGCTGGGGAGAAGAAGATTTGGAGGAAGGTGTGAAGTTGGACTGCATTTCGGACCGAACGGTTCAATTCTGTCGGTAGTACACTCGCTGCCATGGATTGTGTGGGGAGGGATTGTGGGTGAGGAACAGTAGCACCGAAGAAGGGAAGACGCGAAAGATGTTCGGAAGCGTGCAGTTGGCGGCTCCTGGACCCCACGAGCCTAGTTACACGGCACATCACCGTCATTGTTATGTTGAGACTTTGTAAGGACCATGCCACTGGCATTTGCAATGAAGGCGAAGAGGATAAAGTCGAGAATGCGATAAAAGAAAAATGTGCTTCATGTGCCACATGTTGGTTGCACTCACGATCCAATCACACGATCTGGGTATGCCTCCATAGGAACCGGAGGGCGCGATGGCAGGGTGGCCTGATTAGCCTGCGCGAGGCTGCTGCAAGAAGCCATACCACCAACACCACGATACCTCCACCGGTATACACGCTTGACCTCAGAGAGAAGGTATCGGATTGTTGAATCCACATGTTTTACTTTTGGTCGGATGCTGAGAGTCCCTCAGTGGGGGAACCTATCAGATCGATGGTATGTTAACATCTCACGCTACGACTACCGATCACGGGAACGAGGCGCGCGCCAATGCGGTACTTGAAAAGAGAAGCTTGATATTAGAGGTTTGTATACCCTCAACGGGTATAGAGATCTTATTAGAATGCTTGGAACGTCGTTTCATGGGACGCCAAACGGTACGGATCGAAGGAAAGCCGCGGGCTAATGCGCGTCAAGAAAAGGAAAGAGGAAACATCTTGCCGCCGAACAGAAACAGGCTCTCGGCCTGGCCGTCGCGTGGCTTCATTTCTCCAAATCCACGGCTAATTGCCACCTGCAAGCCGTCCGTATCATGTATTTGGCCTCTTCTTCGCTCATCCAGTTCATCTCTTCACCTCCATTCCACTTGATGCCAACAATCTTTCCAGCACCCTCGCCTTTTGTATCCATTACCACAAACAGTTCTGCGACCTTCATGCCAGTCCAACTCCGATGGAAGTGCACCTTTAGCTTGCCAGCCTGATCAGGACCCTCGCTGTAGATGTACCACTTGTCGTCCATGTCCCGTGGGGCATACCCAAGATATAAAGAGTATATTTGTGATGGTGGAAGGAAGACATTCCACGACGTTATGAGAGGCTTGCCGGGAAATGGCATGGTTGGTAGCGCGCTGGGAAGGATGCGTCGCCGCGGTTCTGGAGAGGGTGGAGGTGTGAATTCGCTCCGGTTGCGTTGATATATTGGTAAGTCGATGCGCTGGATGTGTGTGACCATCTTGGGTTGTTGAGGTTTCGAAGCATCGATAGTTACGATAGGACTCTTCTCAGTAGGTGACGCTGGTGGTGTAAGAAGGCTCAGCGGTCGGTGTGATGGGCGGCGTTGTAGCCTTCTCGGCGACTGTGGATTTGACGACTGTAGATGCGGTGATCGTAGGCCCTCGTTCATGAGGAATGGCGACGGAGGAGCATCGCCGCGTTCTCGTCTGGAGAAACGTCGGAATATCGACTTCTTCCTCGAAAGCGGCTGTGGTGATTCGAGTGCCATCATCTTACTATTACCCCTCTATGCGAATCTTGTGATTAAGTCCTGGCTGCGAAACGTGAATCCCCAAAGTAGGTCTAACGGCGAACGAGAGTATAAACGAAAGTAATTGCCGACCAACCTCTTACCAAACAATGGAGTGGGGAAGGGAAAGTGTACCGTGCAAGACAAATACTGTGGTGGTACTCAGCCGCACCCCTCGCGCGGGCTGAGTCTGGCTTTATTTAGCATGCGCATTCCAACTGCATGCGGACAAGCGGGCATCCCCAGCACACCCAGATCCACTCCGCCAGCACGGAACTTCAGAACTCCTGCATGGTGTGGGCTGGCAAGCCTGAGAAAAAAGTCGTGGCGTGTGATCAGCCTGGAGATGGCTGGAAAGGAGTTCTGTTGGTGGTCCGGCAATGGCAAGCGTCACTTTGACGCGGGAAGCGCACGGCCTTTGGTAGAAAGCGCCCGAAATAGTGCAGCTTCAATCTCTGGGTCGATGCGCGAATCGAACTTTATCGCCGGCTGTATCCAGACTGGGGGACTCCCCTGGATTTTCCAATTTCTCACGGACATTCTCGTACTCCAGATTTTGCGAGAGCAGTTGTCGTGTTGCGAGCTCTTCCCATACGTGGACGCTTTGCCACAAAAAGATCTTTCGCTGACCTGCAAGCACGACGATCGTATCGGCTCCTCAATGCCGAAAAATGCCTACAAGCCTACGTTTCATAGATATCACGATCGCACAATCAGAGCAGTCCGCACGACTGGTGTACAATAAAATCCGCCCAGTGAACGCTCTTTGGTTCCACAGTCTTGGGTTTTAGCTTCCAACAAGGCCGGACAAAGCCAATCACAATTCTATTGTCCCATCTCACGATCTGTGCTAGGCCGGGCTAACAAAGGGTAGCTCGCGCGCCAATGTAGCTCTACGACGTGATGGATGTGACGGGTGGGGCGATCGTGACCTGTACGAGCTTAGCTGGATCCCACGAGAAATTCAAAGAGCACCAGCGTGGCACAGGGTGTTCGCATCCGATCGAATACCAAGAGCAGGCTACCGGAGAATTGATAGCGCATCTTCTATGTCGGCGTCTACACCCGCTTGATCGCCTGGTAGACATTACGCGGTTTCCCGTTCCCTGGGCTAAAGGGTCATTGAATAATGACGATTGAGTTCGTCATGATGGATCGCCAGAGCTTCAATCTATTGACGAGTTAGCCTCGTTCTCCTTTCCATCAGGAGTCGCTGCATCAAGGAAATGCAGATGACTTTCTTTTGATGAGGCACTTTCCAGTGATTGAACAGAGACGAACAAGAAACGCCAAAATCTGCATAATGCGGGGTGAACAACTTAGATCAAGGCTACCCTGCGCCTATCGTGTAGACGTGACCGGTAAGACAGCCAGCCACATCGAAGACTAACCGAAGCCACAGGACGATGTACCGTGATCCAGATCATTCGCTGGTAGACTAAAGGAAACCTAGAACAGCAGACTACACATGCATCAAGCCTCTGCATAGCTCAGCCGCAAAAGATCAGCGCAGTACATCGTAGAAATGGTTACCCAAAACAACGGCCAGATCTAGAATGTGGCAGTATGCAATGCTGTTACAAAACCGATAAGGCTATTCAGAACGCCGACAAGATCTAGAATGCAGCAGTATTCATGCATTACAACAGCACTACTTCTACATCGGCCCGACGACCACAAGACCTCAGCTCCTCATTCTTACTCCAGCTTCAGCACCTCGACATCCCCATCCCCAAAACTAACATTGTACGGCGCACAGTACGTACTAGTATTGGAGAAGATATCATATTTGGGCCACATGTGGTTCTCACACGCCCACACGCTACAGTCCAGATCCAAGACTGTCTGGGCGGAAAGACCGTAAACACCCTCACTGTAATAACTGTCAGCCGAAATATCATCATAAGATAAGAAAGCAAAATACGTACTTCTCACACGTCCAACTCATCTGCACCGTCAAATCATAAATCGTCGCATTCTTCTCATCCCGTTTTGTCGTGTCGAGATTGAACGTCGCACTGTTGGTGTAGCACCAAGGATCCTCCCTCCCTTCTTCGCCTCCCGCAGGCGCGAAGTTGCATTCGTAGGTTACGGTGGGAGAGAAGAGGGCGTAGGCATTGTAAGACATGGCGCTGCAAGAGATGGGCACTTCGATGGCGCTGTTGGTCATGGTGAAGCCGATGACGCCTTGTCGGGGACCTTGCGCGGAGGGAGAGACATAGAGGACGTAAGAGGAGAATTGGATGTTGGTGAGGGAGAGCGAGGGGAAGGCTGCGGTGGTGAGTGATGTGAGGGAGAGGAGGGGGAGGATCGTGAGGAGGAGGGATGGAGTATGCATCATGGCGTTTTGTCTCCAAGGTTCTTTGCGGCTTCGTGTAGATTGGATCGCGGTGTCAACGAAGGGTTGAAATCGAGGTCATGCCCGCAAGATTATAAGCAACTCCATCCCGCCGCCCACGTTGTGTTGACATGGAATATGGTAATGTGTACTCCGCCATTCTTAGTAAGAAGGGTGTCGTGCGGGGAATGAGTACTTCCTTCAGAGAAGCCACCCGTTGCAAGCTGGAGGCTGTGTTCTCCCTTTCGGGGATGATTTGGCTGTACGTTATGGTGGTCGTTGCTAGATATACCCTTCGCATTGGACCTTGCGTCACCGCTGCCTGTGGCTTGAACGTACATGGAGATACATCCCCTAAACCGGTACCAGAGGGCGCACGACGAACGAATGTGGCGTAGCAAAGACGAGTAAGGGAAAGATTCCAAGCATATCCAAATCGGACCCGCAGGCTATGTTATTGGCTGAATCAGGAGAAAGCAAACCGGGCTCAGGGTTTGAGGTCGTACCACGTACTCCATAATTTACCAACTTCAGAGTATCGCTGTTTGCCGAGCGAGGAGATAATAATGTATTGCTTAATTTACACACAATCACTCTTACTCCTTGTAGGTAATAGTCTTCATCCTCAAGAACTCTTCAATACCCCAATGTCCGTTGAAACGGCCGAATCCACTTGCCTTCGCACCACCATGCGGCAAGGTCCACTCGTCGTGCACTGTCATGGAGTTGATATGGATAGCTCTGTATGCAGTTGTTAGTAATTACAAACGCCACATCATTCGATATTGAGAAGGACTTACCCGCTTTCAATCTGCTTCGCAACCCGTAGACCGCGGCCAAGGTTCTCTGTGAACACAGCGCCCGAAAGACCATAGTCGGTGTCGTTGGCGATCTCGATGGCTTCCTCGTCGCTGGAGATCTCGATGACGGAGACCGAAGGACCGAAGGACTCGGTGTGGAAGAGATCCATATCCTTGGTTACGCCGTCAACAATGATGGGTCGCAGACGTGTGGCCGAAGCCTCGTTCGTCTCAGGGTGCTTCTCGTCTTTCTCGTGGTCGCCGTGTACGACTTTCGCGCCGTTCTTGACCGCATTGGCAACGAGAGTCTTGTTCTTCTCTACACCGGGTGCAGCTACGAGAATGGGAGCAGGCTTGTCGCCGCCAAAGATGCCCTCGACGGCGCCCTTGAAAGCTTTGATGAATTGCGGCTTGATGTTCTTGTGCACGAGAATGCGTTCTGAGCTCATGCAGATCTGGCCTGCATGCAGGAAAGCACCAAGCGCACATTGTACTGCTGCGGTCTGCAAGTTCGCATCGTCGAGGACGATGGCGCTCGCTTTACCTCCTAGTTCGAGCAGAACGGGCTTGAGGTTCTTGCCAGCTGTCGATGCGATGATGCGACCAACAGCGGTGGAACCAGTAAAGTTGATCTTTTTGATTGCGGGCTCTTCGATCAAGGCCGTGGTGACTTGCGCCGCGTCCTCTGGACGATGAACTAGGACATTGAGCGCACCAGCGGGAAGACCAGCCTCGGTCAGGGCGCTGCCAATGGCCCACCATGTACGAGGACAGAATTCGCTACCCTTCAGGATGGCGGTGTTACCCGCAGCTAGAGGGTACAGAATCGATCGCATGCCAAGCACATATGGGGCGTTCCTGGTGCTCTCGTCAGTTTTGTCGCATGCGTACATGTATCAACAGGAAAATCCTTACCAAGGCGCAATACCCAGCACAACGCCATAAGGCTCCTTAACGATCAACGCACTGGTGCCCTCCTCTTCACAGCTGGGAATGTGTCCCATGACCGCGCTCAGCCTGCCGGCCACATCTCTCAGCATATCCGCCATCTTGGGCACGTTGAACCCATTGCTGAAGTTGTCCGCAGCTCCGGTTTCGATCTTCATGTAGTCTGCGAATTCTTCCGCGCGCGCGTCAATTACGTCGGCGGCCTTGAGGAAGATGTTGCGCTTAGCGGAATGCTTCATCTTGGACCAAGCGGGGAAGGCGCCCTTTGCAGCCGCAACGGCACTCTTGACCTCTTCCAGCGAGGCGGACGAAGAGCTCCATACTTCCTTGTGCGATGAGGGTGATGTCACGGGAAATGTGGTTTTGGTGGTGACCTCCTTGCCGTTGATGAGGAGGGGTACGACGTAGGACGGATCGGGCTTGACAACTGAGGGGTTAGACATGTTTGCTTTTGACTTTTGGCCTGCCAATTGCTGTTGATGAGTTTGTTGTTGCTTTTTGATGATAAGAACGATGTAAAGGAACGACGAGACGGGCCGTAGAAGTACCGAGATGGATTCGAGAAGCTATCTACGTAGTATCCACTTCGCATACCGAGCTTTTCTGTCTCAGACCCTGAGCGTGCGCGTATGCGCATGGCAATATCGGCAATTCAGAAGCGCGGGTCAGGGGCGAGTGGGCGGCTTGTGGGGACGGCACGGGTCAGAGGCGAGTAGACGGGCGAAACCGATGCATGGAGGGGTCGAAAACATTGACATGAATTGTCGCATAATGTATTGCTAGATGTAACAGCTTCTCCAGTAGGCGAGTAGGCGGCGGAATAATTCCATGTCGTCTCGGCCACCGAGGCGGGGGCTGGGAACAACCTGGGATGATCTGCTACCGATGTCGCAAAGCTGCCCAGGTAGTGCGTTATCGCGTCGTACGGAACATCTCGAGGGTCTTCATGTGAGGCTTCCTCAGTTCAATTCGCCTCGTGTAGATGCACAACAGTCGCAAGTCGTTACACCGAGAATGGAGACAAGACGATGATGACGTCAACTCTCTAGATCAGCGGGGTATCGCCGAAGCCTTCCATCACGAATTTCCACGTGCTCTATCGTCCGAACCAACTCCTTTGGGATCCATTCCAGCTGGCGGTCGATAATAGAAGGCACGTCGATGGTACTGGAAGATACGTTCAACGTGCGAGGGCGAATGTCGCTCAACACAATGTATATCGTTGGTCTTCCGCGCAAAGTCCATATGCCATTCGTGTAGTGTTCTAACCCGAGGACGTTCTCTCGGAACTGATCCGCGGAGATTCGCCAATGCCACAGCACCATCTCGGCACATTCCTCGAGCGCTTCGAATAGCTGTTCACACGTTATGCCGCTTGAGTTCAGTACGTGTACAATAGTGCCCATCGAATCATAGGTAGATAATGGATATCCGAAATCCCTAGTAGTATCCGGATGCTGAAATGGTACTTGGACACGCAGCTCTATCGCTTTGCAGGGCGGCTGTGTCAACTGCATAGGGCCAACTAGTCCACGAAAGGCTCCTAGGTAAGGGGTGGTTCCAAAGACGAGGTTCTCGATTCGGTCCAATGGCTGAAATTTGAACTCATACACTCCGACAGACTCCGTCAACTGCCGTACGAACACAGTTTGGAAGTAAGGGTTCATCTTGAACTGTGTGAAGTCGCGCCACCCATTTGTATTTGAGTCCAACGAAGAGCGAATGCTGACCAAATGGTATAAGGTCTTGAGATGATCAGGTAGAGCCTTCGACGCGTAAATGCGAGCCGGCCAGTAAGGTCGATATATCCCGGACCATGAGTAATCTCGTGCGGCGATCTCAGCGTCTCTTGATGCCTGGAACTCACGTAAGAGCAGCATCTCTTGCTCAAATTTCTGGAAATCCTCGTCACTAGGCTCGGGAAGACTACTCATTGCATCCAGATTTCGCGTACTGCCACGCTCCACAACTTCGTATGGAAGTGATGGACGAAATGAGTTTGGAGTGGTCATAATATGCGCGACGGTATGTCTCCAGAGAGTTGAAACGTTCCAGGCAGCGTGCATCTGGGTCTCTGCATCGGCGAAGCGAATGATGTTCTCAACGAGTTCAGGGACATGGCCCGCCCTCTCGATTGCAGTGACGATGCGATCTGAATCCAGGAATATTGGGCGCTGGTCTTGTCCTACATCCACGAACCAAGATGCCAACGCAAATTTGCTACGCCAGGTACGAAGCAGGTTCCTCCAGAGTTGTCTGATCCTGCCGAGTAGTAAAACCACCGCGCGAGTGGCCCTTACTCTTCGGTTGTATGGAAGCGGTCGTGGGTAGAGGTCGATACGCTTGTCGATCATGGCGAGGACTGAAGTCTTCCATTGCTTCAGTTCTTCTCCTTCGGGTGGTGCGTGCGCGTATTTGACTGGCGGCGCAGGAATGTCTTCTGGAGAAGACATCTTTCGTTGCGATAGGACGAGGAAAAGAGTCGACGATAGCTGTAGGTATTGCAGAGAAAGTCCGCACTCGCAATGTTTTATGTCGCTGTGTTAGTGGCGACGTTGCGAAGTTTGCGGTTGAGATGTGGCCTGCGCAAGGCTGCTGCCTTGGGCGAGGACACATTTTGGTACCGAATAACATCGGCCATCACGATTTGGAACCCGCCGAAAACCCGGTTGTGCAATGCGTTACATTTTTAAGGCTTTTGTATAATTATGGGCCCTCTGAGTCTGCTTCTGTCCATGTAGACAAGCGGGAATGACTCTCAGAAAAGGCCGGTACCGTGAAATCGTGAGCAATACTAGTACATCAATCCTCATCGCTATACAGATCAACCTCATCTGAGGATTGCGACGAGTCTGTCTCATTACCATCCCAGTCACTGAAGGCATCGTCATCAGTGTCTCCAGGTTCCACCACAAAGCTGATGCCTGTTTCAGCCGAGAAGAACTTCACAAGAGGCTCCCAATCATATGTGAACCATGTTGCAGCCTCTGGAGCAACCGCCCGAACCTCTTCCAAATCAGGTACATGTTCCCGATAAGAGGTTACCACGTCTCTCAGGGCCTCCAAGCACTGTTGGTCCTCGGTGTGATTCCGGACTGGCGTTCGAAACGTCAGCAGTGAGGATGGCAATCGCTCCACAAAGTTGTCGTCATCGTGGTTCAAGAGCATGCCTAGTGGACAGCTGAGATGTTTTAGCGAAGCAAAATCTTTGAGGTTGTCACGGAGATGGACGTTGCGCTTTGTATCATCCTC